GGATGGAAACCAGTTGAGTGATTGGCAGAGAGAGAGGCGGGGGATGGAAACCAGTGGAGCGATTGGCAGAGACAGGTGGTGGATGGAAACCAGTGCAGGGATTGGCACAGAGGTGTGCCGGCCACTGAACTGTTGGTGAGACGGATAAGTCTGCCGGCAGCAGTCATGATAGGTTGAAGGTGGGCTCACCTGTGTAGAGGGGGGCCAAGAGTTGCAGTAGTGGAGACCAGAGATGACAAGGGAGTGAATTACAATCTTTGTGACGTCTTTGTTGGGCGAATATCGGAGATGTTACGGAGGTGAAGACGACAAGATTTGGACAGTGATTGGATGAGGGGCTTGCAGGAGAGGTCAGAGCCCTGCAGGTACACCTGCACACTGGACTGGTGAACTGCTTGCTGTGCCTTAATGCAGGTGCCCCGAACAGGAATGGCATTGTGCCAGCAATGGCTGTGACAGGCCCCTCACTGGGACCTTCCCATGAGCTCACCTCAATATATCCTCCGATGGTGTCTTTGCCAATCAATCAATTAGACCTCATATAAGACACATGGAAGAGGAGGACAAACCTTTGTCTCTAGGACAGAGCGCTAGACAAGGCAGAGATAAACCTCAGCTCTTTGGCCAAGGAAGGGACCCAGAAGGTTAATCCATCATAATATATTCAAGTCTACCAGTGGTTACCAGGAACAGTAGAAAAGTAGGTGTCAGAACTGGATCAAGGATCGTTCACCTGCCAGGAGAAGAGTAGACGGAAGATCGGAAATTGTAAGATGATGAGTGGATGTCCATGTTCAAAGTTCCCCACACGTATATACTGGAATGTCTGTGACAGACATGTTACACACTTACCCCTGCATTGTATACTCTCTTTTTTTTCTGTACATTGCACTGTCCTGCCCCTGCGCTGTATACGCTATGTTGCGTGTGACATATCGTGTAGTAATGATGGGTTTTTGGGCCTCATAATCTGTCTGGTTATATTGTCTGACTGTTCCTAGTATGTGTGTACTTCCAACTATACACAATATTCCTTTTTAACAGTGTGAGGCTTATAAAGCACCCCACATTTCACATACAAGACGGACAGAAAAGTGGGAGCATATAGAAGAACACCGGGATCTCTACAAGGACGCCATGATGGAGAACCGGCCGCCCCTCACATCACCGGGTAAGAGGAGACTTGTAAAGAAGAGAAGAGTATTGAGGATACCCCTAGATACACACATCCTCTGATATAAAGACATAGTGTAATGGATCCCAGCCGTCTGCGCATGTGTGGCCGGCACGTTCCCGCATTGCTCGGGAGCGCGCCGTCCCGCGCATGCGCAGTAGCAGTAACCCGCGCACACAAAGATGCGCCATTCCGCGCATGCGCAGTAAGCCATCAGCAGGAAAATCTGCTATGATGGCGCACAGGAAATGACATCACGGGCCCTATATAAACCCAGCAGCATTACCACCATGTTGCTGGTTTATTGTCAGCTAATCCTTGTTCCAGTTTGTTGTTGATATTCTGCTTGTTCCTAGTGACCCGGATTTCCACGACGACCCTTGAATTCTGCCTGCCTTGACCACGGAACTGTTATTCGACCATTCTTCTGCCTGACCCCTTTATTGTACTGGATTTGCCTGCTTAGAACCTGACCTCGGATTGTCCACCGGATTACGGCTTGCACGGTGCTCAAACACCATTGGCACTCCTGCCACTTGTTGTCCCACTGGGCTCTGTTCCCATCCTCGGAGCCTCCCAGGACACAAGGTGCAAGGGAAGCCTCCTCTCACGTCCGGTCTCCCAGAAGGTACGTGACACATAGAAACAATGTATTCAGTCAGTGTGTGTGTTTCCTACAGATGGATCTAGGAAGAGAAATACCCCAGAGAGATGTCCCCGTCCTCTGTATTCCCGGGACTCCACACAGGAACATCAGGAGATCCCTCAGGAAGTTCAGGAGATCCCTCAGGAAGTTCAGGAGATCCCTCAGGAAGTTCAGGAGATCCCTCAGGAAGTTCAGGAGATCCCTCAGGAAGTTCAGGAGATCCCTCAGGAAGTTCAGGAGATCCCTCAGGAAGTTCAGGAGATCCCTCAGGAAGTTCAGGAGATCCCTCAGGAAGTTCAGGAGATCCCTCAGGAAGTTCAGGAGATCCCTCAGGAGGATAAGGTTGATGGAACTATGGATCTTAGACTTGGTACTCATCTTCACCTTAAGTTAGTTACATAATATAGTCTGTGTGGTTTCTTATACAGGGTGAAGGTCTGATTGTTGTTAAAGTTGAAGTGAAAGAAGAAGAAGAGACTTATGGGGGGGGTGAGGAGCTGTGTAAGGAGGAGGAAATCACTTCAGGTGAGTAATAAACACTAAATCCAGAAAACAGTCCCAGATTCTCCTTGTTCAGTCACTACAGTACAGGGGGCTTCACTCTCATCTTTTTTCGCAGACACTAGAGCCACTCGGAGGGAAGTCAAAGGTGAGGAGGAGGAAGGAGGACATGTGAGAATTAAAGAGGAGGAATTCCCTCCAGAGATCAGCACAGGTGAGGAATAAATACTGAATCCAGAAAAGAGTCCCAGATTCTCCTTGTTCAGTCACTACAACAATCTCTTCTCCCCACTGTCAAAGCTGAGAAGGAGGTAGAGGGATGTGGGAGGATCAAAGAGGAGGAAGAAGGACATGTGAGCATCAAAGAGGAGGAAGACCCTCCAGAGATCAACACAGGTGAGGAATAAACACTGAATCCAGAAAAGAGTCCCAGATTCTCCTTGTTCAGTCACTACAACAATTTCTTCTCCCCCCTCCTCTGTCAGTAGACAGTAATGGGGGGGACGGAATGTTTCTAGTGGGGGGAGTCAGGAGCCATCAGCCTCTATTAGACTCCGGCTCTCCTCCTCACATCATGTCATTGTGTGTTACCAGCCAAGAGATGTGACCAGTCCCCCCCCCCCCACACACACACTCTCTGGGGTCTCCCATACATCTCAGTACAGGGGGCTTCACTCTCATCTTTATTCACAGACCCCGGAGACACTCAGAGAGACCTAAAAGCTGAGGAGGAGGAAGAAGGACTTGTGAGGATCAAAGAGGAGGAAGTTCCTATAGAGATCAGCACAGGTGAGTAGTAAACTCTAAATAAAGAAATAATCCATAAAATAATGGCATCCAATCCGAGTATTTCATCACACACAGATTTTCAGACATTCTCTAGCGGGGATCATCGAGATCGGAGTTCACATCATGTACAATGTCATCTTTGTTCTTGCTATAGTCGATAATATAAAGGCCTCTGAGGTGCTGATTGCACTTGTAATGGTGTTTCCGCTTATGTCATGCAGACGGACAGTGCGGAGAGTGTACCACGAGGCATGAGGGTCCCATTATGGCGACACACGGTAAAGCAGAAGATGGGGACATCACTTCAGACTTTTCAGAAGAGACCCCCATTGGCCCCCAATCCCATCCCCCACCTCACTGTGCAGATCTGTCATCTGGTTCCTCCACACATGGGGAGTGTTCTTCTGATCTCTCCCATCAAACAGCTCGTAGAGCAGGAAAAACATTTTCCTGTTCCCCTTCCCCCGGAGAAGTTCCTACCAAACATCGGAGATCTCACAGCGGAATAGAACCATTTTCATGTTCCGAACACCAACGAGTGGACACGGGAGAAAAACCGTATACGTGTTCGGAATGTGGGAAGAGTTTTTGCCTAAGGCCCTTTCTCGTTAAACATCAGAGAACGCACTCCAAAGAGAAGCCGTTTTCATGCCCCGACTGCGGGAAATGCTTTCGAGAGAAATGGGTGGCGGTAACGCACCAGAGGACTCACACTGACGTGAAGTTGTTTTCGTGTCCGGAATGCGGCAAATGTTTTGCCACGAAGCGGGCCCTGATCAAACATCAACCGGTGCACAAGGGGGAAAAGCCGTTTCCATGCGCCGAGTGCGGAAAATGCTTTAGAGAGAAATGGGCGGCGGTAAGGCACCAGAGGACTCACACTGACGTGAAGTCGTTTTCGTGTCCCGAATGCGGAAAATGTTTTGCCACGAAGCGGGCCGTGATCAAACATCAACCCGTGCACACGGGGGAAAAGCCGTTTTCATGCCCCGAGTGCGGGAAAAGTTTTCTGCACAAAATGAGCCTTACTGTTCACCAGAGGTGTCACACGGGGGAAAAGCCATTCGCCTGCACTGAATGTGGGAGATGTTTTTCCACCACTCAAAATCGCGCCGCACACCAGAGAACTCACACCGGAGTGAAGCCATATGCTTGCTCGGAATGTGGGAGCTCTTTTTCCTGGAAGAGATCCTTGCTCAGACATCGATGTGTACAAGCGGGAGAGAAGCCGTCTTCCTGTTAGGGGCTCAGGAAATATTTTGTCTTTATATCTTATCTATCATGAGAAGACCCGCGTGTCTTGTCTTCTTGCCTGAGCTGAAACTAGAGACTGAGGGCTCCACCAACTGGACACTTGGACTTGATGCTGAACTGGCTCCTCCTTCATCACTAACATACCATAGTCCAATAATGATGCAGCAGGCTAGTCCATGGTGCTGAAATCTCATTGCAGCAACTCAAAATGGTACTCATTAGTTTGTATGGCCCCCGGGTGATTGTATGGATGCCTGACAACATCGGGGACATGTTCCTAATGGTGTCCTGGGGCATCTCCTCCCAGATCTGGACCAGGCATCACTGAGCTCCTGAACAGACTGAGGTGCATCGGATGGACTGAGACATAATGCCCCAGAGGTGTTCTATTGGATTCAGGAGAGCGTATGGGCCATTCAATGGTATCAATTCCTTCATCCTCAAGGAACTAGCTGCATACTTTAGCCACATGAGGCCGGGCATTGTCGTGCACCAGGAGGAACCCATACCAGTGTAGGGTCTGACAACGGGTCCAAGGATTTCATCCCCATATCCCGATATGTCTTGCCTGTAGAGGTCTGTGCGTCCCTCCATGGATATGCCTCCCCGGACCATCACTGACCCAATACCAAACCGGTCATGCTGAACGATGTTACAGGCAGCATAACGTTCTCCACGGCTTCTCCAGACCCTTTCACGTCTGTCACATGTGCTCAGGGTGAACCTGCTCTCCTCTGTGGAAAGCACAGGGCGCCAGTGGAGGACCTGCCAAATCTGGTGTTCAATGGCAAATGCCAATCGACTTCCACGGTGCCGGGCAGCGAGCACAGGGACCACTAGAGGACGTCAGGCCCTCAGGCCACCCTCATAAAGTCTGTTTCTGATTGTTTGGTCAGAGACCTTCACACCAGTGGCCTGCTGGAGGTCATTTTGTAGGGCTCTGGCAGTGCTCATCCTGTCCCTCCTTGCACAAAGGAGCAGATACCGGTCCTGCTGATGGGTTGATGACCTTCTACGGCCCTCTCCAGCTCTCCTAGAGTAACTGCCTGTGTCCTGGAATCTCCTCCATGCTCCTGAGACTGTGCTTGGAGACGCAGCAAACCTTCTGGCAATGGCACGTATTGATGTACCATCCTGGAGCCGACATGCCTGTGCAACCTCCCCCTATAGGGTCCCGGTATCGCCTCATGCTACCAGTAGTGACACGGACTCCAGCCAAATGCAAAACTAGTGAAAAACAGTCAGAAAAAGATGAGTAGGGAAAAAATGTCAGTGGTCTCCACCCGTAAAACCATTGTTGTTATGGAGGTCATCTCATTGTTGCCCATCTAGTGCACCAAAGCAGCTGAAACTGATTAACAACCCCCCCTCCCCCCTTCTGCTACTTACCTGACCTGATCAATATCCCCCTAGGAGTTTCATTGACTTGATGCTAAACTCTGAATAAAAAGTGTTCCTTTCATTTGTTTGAGCAGTGTACTTTATCACCACCAGGACATCAAAACTAGGGATGTTCCGATATCGGTACTATTGGCAGGCGATCGGGCAGTCGCCGGCCAGCTAAATTAGGACCCCACCTGGAGCTCCTCCCACCGGACCAGCCCTGGACCCGCCGCTGCTCTCCCGCACAGCGCCGATGGAGGGGAAGACGAGGCCGTGCAGGTGCCGAGCGATTACTGCCAGCGCTTCTGTCAGGTGAGGAGAGGGCTCTGTGTGCATGGCGCCCTCAGACTGCTGTAATGGTGGAGGGTGCGAGGGGCAGGATCGCTGGCTCCTTTGTGTGTTTACATGCTGCATACATATGTAGCATGTAAACACACCTTCTGTGCACTGCAGCCTCAGGTAGACATGTGCGATTCGTTTCGTTACGAATTTCTTAAAATTCATAAGTTCGGAAGCATCCGAAATCCGAATTGCAATGCTTCCAAATGTAATACGAAATTCCGAATCCGGATTTCGTTGAAACGGAAACTAATAATACCTCTGTGACTGAGTTTGAACAACATGACTATTTTTTCTTATTTATCCAAAAATACGGAATTCCGTTGATTTCTGATCCGAATTTTCGTTGAAAAGGGAACTAACTAATATACTACACTAGGCATGATGTACGAAATTCCATTAACGATTTCCGGATCCAAATCCGAATTTCGTTAAAAATGGTAAATGGTAGTCACCAGTAGGGAGGGATGGGTCCGCAGATCCGATTTGAACATGAGTATGAATCGAACATTGTTCGTTCGAGCATTGTGGGAGCCCCTCATAATGGTCACAGCAGGTGTACTGTACAGACCCAGGAAGTCAGCACAGGGATGGTGGGAACCCCTCATAATGAGTATAGCAGGATTTCAGACCCGGGAAGTAAGTCAGCACAGGGATGGTGGAGCCTCTTATAATGGGCACAGGAGGTATATAGACCCGGGAACTCAGCACAGGGATGGTGGGAAACTGCCATTCTGCTCCCTGACAGCGAGGTGTGAGGTTGTTGGTTGCTTAGCTCGTGAGCTTCCAGAGACCGGGGGCTAGAGTTGCTTCTCTGCCCCCAGGAGAGATGCTGTATCCTGCGGAGGACCCCGGCGGGGGCTCCCTGGAGAGGCCTGTGACTA